GCTGAAGTCCAACGCCCTTCCTGAGGCGGCTGCAATGGCACTCAGCAGCCATACCACGAGCAGTCAACCAGCGACCAGCCAAGGCTTGCGGAGGCTGTGGGATCAGCTCCCAGACCTCCCCTCACAGAAGCTGGCGGGCTTACTCTGGCTATTGTCTCACTCGGCCATACCTTGTGCTGAATGGCTGTACGAAAGAGGTATGGAACTGGAAATGAAATGTAGAAGATGTGGTAGGGTTCACGAGGAGACGTTAGCTCATCTATTCTGGGAATGTCCAGCCTCCAAGCGGGTCTGGCAATGGTGGGAGAGACACTGGCACCGGTTTGTGGGTACACTGCTAACGTGGGATGAGGCCTGGGTAATGTACGGCGCCATACCAGCAGCATGGTTCAAGCGCACGGGGAGGGGATATGTGGCGCAGGTTATCCGGGCCATCATCATTTGGGTCCTCTGGGAGGACAGGAACAAGATCATCTTCGAGGAGCAGTGGTCCAGTGACTCAACGCTTATCAAAAGGATGAAGTCCTGGATTCGCACGCTGATCAGGGTGGACTGGGTCCGGAAGGCGGCTAGGGGGCGAACGTCTAGAGGAAGGCGCTGGTTCTTGGTCACATGGGCACGAGATAACCAACTAGCGGCAATCACACATGGTGGCAAGATGAACATCAGCCCCTGGCTATATGCCTAGGGATGGACTGGTACGCAGGTTCTGATGAACCAGTGCACTCGGTTCCAGTGGGCAGGTACAGTAGCCTGCACAGGGGTCTTGGAGGGTGGAGAGTGCTCGTATCAATGGGGGGAATTGGTTCCCACTCGGCCACAATAGGCGGATATCGGGCCGCTGATAGGCCCTGTAGTAGGAATAGTTTGGTCTTATTAGATGTCTAATCTGTAGTTGAGGCTGGCAGTAGGACTGTGTGTTCCCCTCTCCTCTCCCCTTCTTCTCTGTTTCTCTGTCATCCCCTCTTTCTCCCTGGTCCAACAACCTGACGTTTTGGCATTGGCACGTCCTGCTAAGCCGTGGGTTGGGGTTGGCCTTCCCCCTACACTGAAGGAAATTGTGTGATGTAGGTTTTCGTCTCAGACAGATCAGTGCTCCAATTGGAACTTTCAAGCTGCCGGGATAACTCCGGGTAGAATTGTGAGGTCCCCGGCCTCGGTTTATCAGAGTTTGTAATTGATGTGCTACCTTTAAAAAAAAAAAAAAAAAAAAAAAAAAAAAAAAAAAAAAAAAAAGACTTCTGTTACTCTGGGCATCTGATCGTATCTGGATTCGAGCTTGAGTCTGTATTTCAACACTTCGTGGGTGTACCAACTGAGCTAGGCTCGTTGGTGAAGCGACGCGCTTTCGCGTTTATAGGTCCACGAATTGGGGCCTCACTCCACTGCACAGCTTTCTAAATGTACCAGGAGCAGAAGATGGCCCTCATACATAAAAACATTTCGATCAGTCCGAATGTATGTGTGCGAAAAGCAGTCTAGGTACATGTGAAATGCTGTGTCGTGGAGCGAGGGCTGGTCAAATGCGCCAAGAGACAGCTACCCACGCGTGTCCTGAGAATCTTGCCGGCCTTCTAAAAAAACAAAAAAAAACAAAAAGAATATTGCCGGCCCCGCTTTATTCTCAGCAATGAATGCCAAAGGCCAAAAAAAAAAACAAAAAAACAAATCGGCACTCCTGAGGGCGTACTCACACCAGCTCTATAGCAAATGTATTTGGCCACATTTACGAGCGGAACTGAATGTATCTGACCGTAATCCATCTATGAGTAATAGAAAAAACTCCTGGCATACTCCGGGAGCCCTTTTTTCTCTCCCTTTTTTTCTGTCTTTTGAATATGAATTCATATTACAGGCCCAGTGCCTAGGCAGTACATAGTTCGGGTAATAGAGGACAAGTCCAGGAGCATGGTCCCATTAGCCAAGAGGATTGGATTAAGCTCCTGAATCTGGACGTGTTTTAAGCAGAGATGCAGAAAAGCTATTCAATCTCGAATTTCTGCACTTTTCCAGGAACAAGTCTAGATTAAGGCGTTCAATGCAATCCATGTTGCTAGTGGGACCTCGCCCCAGGAGCGTGGTCCCACTAGCAAAGAGGATACTATTGAATTCCTGAATCTGGACGTGTTTGTTGAGAGGTGCAGGGAATTCGAGATTGAACTGCTTGTCTGCATCTCTGCGTAAAACACATCTACATTCATGAGTTTAATCCCATCCTCGTTGCTAGTGGGACCTTGGCCCAGGGGTCCCCCCTGGCTTTGGACCTACTTCTCAGAGGCCGAGCCTCCCTCACCCCTGTACCAGCTACAGCAACCTCTGCGAGAAACAATGCCCACACACAGGGCCCCCGAAAAGGGCCCCACAGACCAAACAGCTTCCTACCATAACCATTGTCCCGGGGGAAGGTCCCACTTGCGCAAATTAGGAGATTTCGGCCGTTGATCTTCGCTATCTACGGTCAGTATCTCTTAATTCGTGCAAGTGGGACCTAGCCCCCGCAACTACAGCAACCTCTAGAAACAAATAGGCACAAGCCAGCAATATGCAACACAGGCCCCCAAAACGGGGCCCATACATTATGCCTATTCTTTTCTTTCCTTTTTCAAAAACTATGCCTATTCTCAGCCAGTCTCCTTTTCTTTATGGTTTTTTTTTCGCTTTGTTTTTTTTTTTGCTTTTTTCTTTTTTTTGCTTTTTGTTTTGGAAAATTTTCGAAATGCCCCTGAAGTTTGCATTTATTTGCGGCATGCCCCTGTGAAGGCCGACTTACCCTGTTATGCCCCTCGGGCCTCTGAAATTTTCCGCAGGCCCCTGTTAGCATGGGGCGTAACTTTTCAATATGCGCTTACTGGACCGCTGGTGGCGTTTTGTCGGTCCGTCCTTGAAATGCCCTCACGAGGGGCACACATCTTTCCGTGATGCCCTTGCAGCAGTGGGGACAGGAATTCGAACTCGAACATGGTAGGTATTTCACGTGCCGCCAGGGAAAAATGGTGCCGCAGTCAGCCTTCAAGTTCGCCGCGCCATGGATCGCTGCTCCCTCCTCCTCCACCCATGCTCATCGCCCTCCTCCCTCCTCCTCCATCCATGCTCGTCGCTCTCCTCTCTTCTCCTCCAGCCTCCATCCTCTATCCTCATCCATCGTTGTAGTCCTTGTCCTCCCTACTCCTCTTCCCTCCTCTTCCCTCGTTCTCCCTCCTCCAACTTTCTCCTCGTCACTCCTCCCTCTCCTCCTCCTCCTCGATTGTCGGCTCCTAACCTAACCATCACCATGGCCGTCTTCTTGCCGTCATCGCCCGTGCACGCGCGCGCGTCTGTATGTGCGTGTGTGTGTGTGTGTGTGTATGTGTGTGTGTGTGTGTGTGTGTGTGTGTGTGCGTGTTCACATCATCTTTTCGTTTACTTGTTGGTCTGACAGGTGGTATATAATGACGAATCGAAGGTGTTCGTCACTCGTTTTTTAGTCATTTGGTGTGTGTGTGTGTGTGTGTGGGTGTGGGTGTGGGTGTGTCATCTTTTCGTTTACTCGTTTGTTTTGGACAGGTGGTATATGATGACGAAATCGAATGTCCTCCCTACTCCTCTTCCCTCCTCTTCCCTCGTTCCTCCCTTGTCCGTCATCGTCATAGTCCTTGTCCTCCCTACTCCTCTTCCCCCCTCTTCCCTCCTCTTCCCTCGTATGGACTGCGAGTGTCAACAACGGCGTTAGGGGCTTGCTGGAAAGATGGACGGTACCGGTAAGGGCATATGGGAAACTTTTCCTGTGGTTCTCAACAGGCAGCCGATAGGGGCACACTGAAAATTTTGTACCGGTACCGGTAGGGGCATATGAAACATGTTTGAGGCCCAAACGACGCCAGGGTTTTTCTGGAAACATCATTGGTCGTCAGAGGGGCGCGACAAGGTAAGTCGGCCATCAGAGGGGCACGCCGCAAATAAACGCAAACTTCAGGGGCATTTCGAAATTTTCCTCTTGTTTTTTGCTTTGTTTTCTTTTTCTATTGCGGGCGTACGTCCCTCGATCCCGCCTTACCTACTACCTTCGGGCCTACAACCCCACTCGCCATCCTCCAAAATCTTGAATGCATCTGGACATCCCGGGCATTCAAAATCTTTGTGGGTGGATGGTACGGAAAGTTGGAAACACTACCTTCCGAGGCTTTTTTTTTTTTTTTTTTTTTTTTTTTTTTTTTGCGCTCGCTCCAGTAACAACATCGAAATGTAACAAAAAATCCAGCGGCCTAGCTCAGTTGGTAAGGCACGCAAGTGGCATTCAGGAGGTCTTGGGCTCAATCCCCAACGGCCTCATGTACCTTCCTGGGCAAGCTTGACGCCCGCCACCTAGAGATATGCGGTTGGTCCCCCCGAGTGGCATTGAGCAGAGACTGCTGGTGTTCATAGGGGGAGGGGACCGGAGGGGAGGCACAGTGACTGGCCCATCGAAGAAGCTCGGTCCTGATGCTACCGGCTGACTCCTGGCCGGTATCGCCCACCTGCTGTGGCAGGTATCGCACCTGCTGGTGGGTGCAGCTCCCGCATGTTCCCTCGTTGGAGGCCCTTTGGTACGACCGGGGCGCGTGCCGACTGACCGACTCCTGTGGCTTTTTTTTTTTTTTTTTTTTCTATTATCCTTTTTCAGAGAGTCCTGTGGCTGTCGGCCTCGCTCCACTACTCTGCACATGCACAAAATACGAAAAAAAAAAAAAGATGGCGGTGTATCTTTCCATGTTCTAGCGGAAGATTCCAATTTTGCAGGTTTTTTTTTTTGGGCACATTTCGAGGGTACTGCAGCGAGGCCCTGTGGCGAGGCGATATCCTCTCTCTCTCTCTCTCTCTCTCTCTCTCTCTCTCTCTCTCTCTCTGTGTGTGTGTGTGTGTGTGTGTGTGCGCGTGTGTGTGTGTGTGTCTGTGTGAATCGTCCTCTGGTCATCTCTCGTGTTTCTACTATTTGTTCTCGCCGTCGGTCAGACGTTTCGCCATTGTCCATAAACGAACGTTTCGCCATTGTCCATAAACGAACGAACAACCGTGTGAGTGCGGAAGGAGGAGGGACGCGACCTGGCAGCGAGGGAGGAGGGAGGGAGGAGGGTTTGACAAATTGACACCACCGGCGGCAGCGACCATGGCTCAGCATTGTGCGCTGGTTTTCCTCTTTTCCCTCGTGTTCGTTCTCGGAGTGGACGCTGTCAATGGCGGGAGAGGGGTTGATTCCAACACTCAGCAGCCTGCATCTGTGAATTACTCCGAGTTATTCACGCTTCTTGCGCAGGAGAGCCACAAGGAGGAGGATTCGAACGCTCGTCTCCTTGGAACGCCAACAATTCACCCTTCCAGGAGCTTTGACCCTGAGGAGGACCTCAAAACCATTGACGAGGCTCTTACCGGTTAGTATACGGTCATGTTTTTTTTTTTCGTTTCTGTTCTTATTTACGGGCTTAGCCTACTTTTTGCGAAGCTCCCTTCGGAATTTCGATACCTTTTTAAAGCCTCTTTTTTCGAAATTGCACTACTTTGATATCCCTTACGCTTCCGAATTGCTTCTTTTTGTTGTGTTTTCTATCGAGAGGAAGGCTGGTTTTTCGTAGTTCTCTTTTGCTTTTGTTACACGTGTCATGCTTGCCCAGGTCTGTGTGTCGTTCCATTGTTGAAGGATGCCCCCTAGCGATGGAATGTTGGCTTCGATCTTGTTCTCTCTCTCTCTCTCTCTCTCTCCCCCGAATGCCGGGTCCGATCGTATGCTCTCTCTCTCTCTCTCTCTCTCTCTCTCTCTCTCTCTCTCTCTCTCTCTCTCTCTCTCTCT